GCTAAATACAGAAATCCAACCAAGAGCCTTCTAGAACTTACTCCAGGATCATCCTTAGGGTCTGTTTCCCCAAATTCAATTACTACATAATTACCTGGAGTCTCCTAAAATCCTCACAAATAGATCAGGTGGCAGGCCAGGAGGCAGCAGGACCCAAGAGCAGCTGAGCGTGCACGTGTCTGCTCTGCCCATGGGGAGAGAGAACAGCCTCTGGGCTGGGGAGAGATGAGCCTCCCGAATGCTGGGGCTCCTGGGGGCAGCCCTGGGACCTTGGTTTGTGGGTGATATCAATGGTTTGCAGAGCAGAAACTGGCTTCCTTGCCCGAAAGCCCCAGTCTCCCTCTCACGACACACACACACAGTTCCATACAGACACCACAAGGCATTGGATTCTGAGGTTTCTATTTAAGAATTGTGCAGGAGCTGAGAGAGTGCAGAGGACACCCAAGACACACCAATTTCCTTTCAGGAGCTCCAGGCTCTGTCTAGTTGGAGAATCCAGGCCCATGCATACATGCGTGGTGCAATGTGCAATTAATTGACAATGAATAGTGGGGGAGCGGGGGCAGTAAACAGTGAATACATCAGTAATTCAGCAAAGCAGGCCCTGGTGAAGGCTGGAATAGTCTAGGACAACCTCAGGGAGGGGATGGGGCCTGAGCTGGTCTCTAAAGGACTCACAGAACCCTGGAACCTGGGAGCGGGACCCTGGCAGGCAGACGACGCTGGCTCTGAATCCTCGTTCCTCCCTGACCTTGGGCAGGTTACTGAAGCCTCCATACTGCCACCTGTGAGAGAGGGACAATGACATTCCCCACCTCATGTAGCTGTGAGGATTAAATGAGATAATCCCCCTTAAGGGCGTGGCACAGAGTCAGCTCAATCAATGTTAGTAGTTATCATGCTCTGCAAAGGGAAGACAGGAGCAGGAGGGGGGAGTTGGGGGCGTGGTGGCTGCCGGAAGTAGACACTTGAATCCAAGAATAACAGCCTTCAGTAGTATTTCCTCCGCCCAGCAGTCACCTTCTCAGATGAGCAGTCAGCAGAACACAGAACCAGAGAATGCGCTTATTCGGAGAAGAAAGAGGATTTGGCTTTGTCCAAGTGCAGGCTTGCCAATTTTCGGCTTGAACTAACTCTCTCCTGTCCCAGTGTCACTCCTAGGGACCCAGGATAAAGCTGGGGAGGCTGAGGTCCCAGATCCACAGATAATCTCCTCAGCAGGAACTGAAGGAAGAAGGCAGAGAGCTTTAGAGATGGGGAGAGGGGTCAGGAGAGTTCTTCAGAGGCAAATATGACTGCGTGTCCATCCCTCAGTCAAACTAAGGCTCCAGGCCAGAAGTCATTAGAAGACATTCAGACCCGACACAGGGTATTGAATGTTCCCTGGTGAAAAAATAGCCTGTGTTTACCTAGGGGGTTTTCCAGGAGTGCCCAAGGTTCTCTCCTGGCCCAATACGCCTTCGCCATCACAGCTCATCTTTTTTTTTTTTTTTTTTTTAAATAGAGACAAGGTTTCACCATGTTGGTCAGGCTGGTCTCGAACTCCTGACCTCATGATCCATCCGCCTCGGCCTCCCAAAGTTCTGGGATTACAAGCATAAGCCACCGCACCTGGCCCACAGCTTATCTTTTAAGGTTACCAAGAAATGGCGCTATAGGCAGGTGAAGGTTCTCTGGGGAGGGGAGTGGGGGCACCTGCCCAGTCCGCTCGCCCTCCCTTGTTTGTTCTAGAAGTTTGCTGTTTGTGCTGGCAGGAGTTGGGGAGGTGCCCATTATGGGCCAAATGGCAGAGGGACCCATTCTGGTCTCCCCTACTTCTCTGGATAGAGAACCCCCAGCTAGAGCCCCCTAAATACCAGGCAAGGACCCTACCATCATGCAGTCATCCAGCAACGTTGTATGCCTCACAACATACAGTGTCATTGTAACCACAGTGGCTGGACAGGTGGCTCTCAGCTTCCATGCCTTCTCACTCCTTCTGGACTAGAATATCCCTGTGGGCAGGGACTGACTGTGTTGACGACTCAGGACCCAAATAGGGCTTCCAGATGAAATCCAGGGTGGCCAGCTAAAGTCTGGATTTTACATAAACAACACATCCTTTTTTAAAAAGTAGAAATATGTCTCAAACATTTCATGGGACATACTTCCACTAAAAAATTATGCATTGTGTATCTGAAATTCAAATCTCCCTGGGCGTCCTAGATTTTTATTTGCTCACTCTGCCAACACTGGACCCAAAGCGCCCGGGAACTGTGTCTCTTCTCGGCTGGCCCCAGTGGGATCCAGGGATGGAGCAAGCGCTGAAGGGCTGAACTTGGCTCTTCTGCAAATGAGCTGGGGGAGGGGCAGGCTACAAAGAGACCAGGGACTGGGGCGGGGCTGCTGCAGGCAGGGCTCGATTTGCAGCGGTGGATACACAAGTGCTCCTCTCGCTGCACTGGGTGAGCTCCAGCCTGGATGCTGGAGGCTCAGCCCCAATAGAAAGATTCATTTCGAGAAAAAGCAAAGACGTGTGGTCTTCCTGGTGTGCAGGGTTAAGACCTGGCACCCTGCTTTCCTTCTCTTCCCTGAGCTTGGGCTCAGAGAGAGGTTTTACCACCCTTTGCTTGTGAAGTGCTGGGCACTGAGGGACATCCAGAGTTAGGGGGTGGCAGTCTACATCCAAGAGAACTGGAGCACCTGGACTCTCCCCACCCCAAAGTTCATTTGGGAGAAGCCATCCTGTCCCAATGCCAGGGTCCCTGACCCCCTTGGAGGTTTCCAAATCTTGGACACCTTGGAAAGCCTGTGTCCAAGAGGCCCTGGGGCAGGTGGCCATGGGACATCTCCTGCAGGTGGTGGAGCAGCCAGCTGGGCTCTAGAATAAGCATGGAACCTGGGCAGGCTGTCTCCCTATCAGAACCTCAGATGCTCCTCCCACAGGAAAGCCCAACCCCTGTGAGGGCTGAATTGAACAAGAGGCACAAGCCCGGTGGCACCTGACATGTCTCAGAAGATCGGCAAATGTTCCATTCCCTCTAGTGGAAGAGGGATTCTTGGACACTCTCAGGGAAGAGGGGGCCTTGGACACTCCGTTCGGTCTGGCACCATGCTGATATCCCAGCAGCTGTGCCTGGCTCCCTCATGCTTCTGCTCAGTGTCTGCCTTCTGACCTCAGGCCCCAGGCTCTGCCCAGGACCACCCTCCTCCACTCAGAGGGCTGTGCTGGCAGGCCTGGTTTTGAAGGCCTCAGGTCACCTGCAGGCCATACCTTTCAGGAATGGGAGTGGAACCGTTTCCTTCCCTGCCCTGCAGGACTGCCACCCTCTACCTCCCCTCTGCCACCCCCAGACCCAGCCAGGCAGAAGCCACCCATAGGGTAGGGGCACCCCCAAGGCCTGAGGTCACTCTGGTCACAAACTGCGCGTGCCTGAGCCAGGGGCCCCCTTCCCATCCTGAGTCTTCAGTTTTCCTCAGCTAGAAAAACAGGGAGACGAGGTCCACGCCTGGCATGGGCCTTTGTGTACCAGCCAGTGAAGGACGGGCCCAATTCTCGTGCCCAGCAGGCAGTTTGCCAGAAGCAAGATCACCCTCCTTCCACTCCCAGGGTGGCAAAGGGCATTCATTCCCTGGAGGGGGAGGGGGAGTGTGTAACTCACTCTAAATGGGGCTGGGGTGATGGCGGGGGTGGGGGGGGGTGGGGGGGAACCACTCACAAAAGCCAGGGCTAGAAACTCCCAACGGCTTTTTTTTAAAGAACTCCCCTGCCCCGCTGGGCTCCCCTCCCCCACCTCCAGCCGCTGGTGGCCTGCAGCCAACACTGGCCACACTGTCCGCTTTCAGGCCTCCCCGCCCTCCTGGCCCCATCTCCCCAGCCTTCCCCACAGTGGCTCTCTCACCACCCCCCCACTCTGAACCACGTTGACCTCTTCCGCCCTGGCGCCCCGCACAGGCCCGGGCCCCTTGGTCCAGGCGGGCAGGGGAAGGGCTTCCGAGGCCGGGAGCAGCCCCGCGCCCGCCAGGCCCCCAGCGCCGCGGCCCCTGGCCCTGCTCGGCCACCTCGGCCCGGAGGAAGATCGCTGCGTCTGCAGAAAGCTGGCCACGGCCGCCGCATTCCCGGGTCGCGGCTTCCTGGCCCGCCGAGCCGCACCCCGGAGTTCGGCCCAGTCCCGTCGCCCCTCTGGGCCCTTAACCCCTTCCTCCCCCGCCACACCAAGGGCCCTGGCCTTGCCACCCCGAGGGAGAAGGGCGAGGAGTCCCAGCTCTCCTCGCTAAGGGAGTGGGGGTGGCAGGCCTCTGTCGCCCGCCCTTCTCCCGGTCCCCATCCATCTCGCAGGAAGCCCCCCGCCCTCCACGCGGGTCGCGATCGCCGCGCCTCTAGTGGGAGCCTCTGGCCTCATGGTTTCCGGGGAGAGAGCCCGAAGGGCTAGGGCCTCGGCGGCTTCCTCGGTGGGGCGGGGCCGGCGATGCCAGCCAGGGACGCTGGAGAGGCCGGGGGTCCCCGCCCCGCCGAACCTGCCCTACCGGGCGGGATTGTTAAAAAGGAACTTCCCTGCCACGCCAAGGCCTGCGCCTGGGTGTGCGGAGCCCCAGGGGTGGGGGCTGGGGGTGAGGATAGCCAAAGTTCAGCCGCTGCCGCGTGGGTGCCGAGAGGGAGGCTAGCCCCACCCGCGTGTCCGTGCCGCCCACCCCTGCACTCCCTCCTCCCCTACGCAGAACCCCTACTGGCCCCAGGGTTTGCCAGTGCCGCGGGCACCGCCGGCCGGAAAGCCTCGGGGGCGGGGACGGCTCCCACACCCCCCCCCCCGCAGGAATTCCCCTGTCCAGCCGGGCGCCTCTAGGCTTCTCAGGGAGCGGGGTCACCCTCCCACGCCGGCGCTTGGCCCCCGAAACCGGCCCACTTCGCTGGTGCAAAGGTTCAGCACCCGGCGAAAAGGCGGAGTTGGTGGCGAGAGGGGTCCGGCCCCTCCCTGCCTCCGACGTTCGTTCTGCGCTCATCTCAAGCAGTAAAAATGCACCTTCAACATCTCCATTTAATATTTACATTCAAGCAGGTAATAGTTGGAAGCTTATAGTTTAGACATTTCTAGTAGCAGCAGTTTCTAGAGAGCTCGAGTAGCCTTTTAACAAACTTTTTTTTTTTTTTTTTTTGCACATAGAAACAACACATCCATGTGTACAGTATCAAAAAATATATACCAACGTTACTGGTATTGCAGTTCCTGGAAGGGAGGAGAGGGGAGAAAATGAAATCAACCGAAATACTGGATGGAGGGGAAGAAAAGTCAAAAGAAAATAGTTTGTCTGATATAGAATATAACATGATCTAGAGGAAACTCCATAAATCTAGGTTTTTATATTTCAATATATAAATACCTACAAATAAATATAGAGAGAGCAGCCCGGAGAGGGTGGTCGGGCCTTCTGAGCTCAAACAATACATCTCAATAATAACACCACGTACAAACGGGAGCAGAGTCAGCACTTGACAAGTTAGCACAGTTAAAATATAATACTAGAACTCTGAGACCTCGGCACAGGGCTGCCCTGTCCGTCCTGGGGTCCGTCTCCAGCGGGGAAGGGCAGGAGAGGGCGAGCCCTGCCGGCACCAGGTGGAAGGGGCCTCCGCCCAGGTCTGACAGCCGCCGCGGGGGGCGGGGTACGTGGTTACCTCGTGTTCTCGCCCTGGGGGCCAGCCCGGATCTCTCGAGTTTGGCGAGAGGGGAGCGCGCCCTGGGGCCCCAGGTGCTCAGCCCCCACCCGGAGGGAATAACGCTTCCCCTTCCGCGCCCTCCAGCTACACCATCACATACTCCTTGAAAGTAACGGTGAGGCAGTTCGCAGTGACGTCGGTGATAATTATATTCCCAAAGAAGGGCTTGAACTCGCTCAGCGACTCTGCTGGTTCGTCCTGGGCCTCGGCTGGAGGCTTCTCCGCCGCCGTGGCAGGCGCTGCTGCCACCGCCGCCACCGCCGCTGTCGCGGGCGCCTCGGGCTTCACCTGGAGGGAGTTGGGCGGTTCCCCGGCCTCGCTGCGAGTCTTGACGCAGCGCAAGTCTATGGGCTCATCCAGGTCTGAGTCCAGTAGGATGACCTCGGGCTGTGGGAGGGCGGCGGCTGGTGGCAGGTCGGCAGGGCGCTCGGCGGCCGGGCTGCCCCCCAGGCAGGTGGGGGTGCTGATGCTGCGCGCCGTCAGCCGCTTCTTGCAGGGCTCGCGTTCGCCATGGGTCTCGGAGAGGCAGCGCTTGCGCACGTGGGAGAGGTTCAGGCCGACGGCGTGGTGGTGGTGATGGTGATGGTGGTGGGGATGGGGGTGCGGGTGCGCGTGGTGGGAGGGCGGGTGCGTGCTCCGGGCCGGGTCCCAGGCCAGCAGGTCGGGCTTGGTGGTGAGCTGCAGGGGCTGCTCTCCAAAGGCCTCCTTGGTAGGGGACAGCTTTCGGGAGCCGGCATCCTGGGGCTGCGGGTCGCTTGCCCCCGACACCTCCTCCTCCCTCCTCTTGGGCGGTGCCTCCACCTTCTTCTCCTCTGCGCCCGCAGCCTTTTTAAAAGTCCTGTCGACAGGAGGGTGGCGCTCGTCGGCCGCCCGCTTCTTGTGGCTAGGGGAGCGAGCCTCCCCCTCCGCCACTTCGCCGGACTTGATCTTCACCGCCTGCATGCCGTTCTCCATGTATTTGCTCATCACGATCACTATGCGCCCGTTCTTGTTCTTGTTCTTGACGATCTTCATCTTGCCCCCGATCCCGTTGCCCGTCACAGCCTCCTTGGGGGCCGGCATCATTCCGTTGGGGGGGCCCTTCTCGGAGCCTTTGCCTGGAGCACCCGCCGCGCTGGCCAGGGGCTTCACCGCCCCCAGGTAGCCCTTGGCCCCCGCGCCTTGCGCCCACTTGTCAGGAGGGTGGGTCTTGGCCCCCAGGTCCGGGCAGGTGGGGCTGGGCGCCTCCTTGTGGCCGCCCTGGTACTGCAGGTCGTACATTTTGGGGTCGGGCTGGTAGGGGTGATGCTTCTTGCTGTTGAGCTGATAGTAGTACTTGCCGCTCTTGCCCGGCGGCGGGGGCTTACCTGCCCGCTCCTTGCTGTGCGGCTGGTACTGGTGGTGCTTCTTGCTGTTGAGCTCGTACTGATGCCCCTGGCCCTTGCCCTGTGTGCCCAGATCCAGCTTGGCACGGTTGTCAGTGGAGGAGTCCTGGAGTCCGGTCAGGACATTGGAACGACGGGCAAAGGTAGGCACCTGAGGGAATGGGTGCAGGGGTGAGGAGGGAGAAGGTGGCCCCACAGCATGCCGGGAGTTTCTGCAGTGTCCCAGCCCCCACCAGGTCCGCAGCTGCCTCTGGGAGAGCCGGAGGTGGGAGGTCTAGTAGACAGGAGGCAGGGTTGGGGTGCTGGGAGGAACCCCCCACCCCCAGGCCTGAAGGCAGCTCTGGTGGCCACGTCAAGGGGGTGCCCGGGGACAACCGCGTGTATTCACCTGCACCACCAGCGGTTTGGGCTTTGGCCCTCTCTTCCGATATCCCATCAGCTGCTCCTGCCGTTCCCTGGTGGGAGGGTACAGAGGGCAGTGCTGTTAGCCTCAGGGTCGCCCCCTCCCCCGCTAATCCCAGAACCTTCTGTGATACCGGCCCCCCCTCCCGCCTCCACCTTCCACGAGCACCAGGTACGGCTGGAGGAATACAGAGGAATCAAGAGCTCAGGGTGAGTCAGGCCCCAGTGCCCTCCACCCTCGCACCAACCCTCCTCTGCCCAAAAGGTCCCGGGCAAAGGGCTCCCCACTTTGATGCCCACACCTGAACCGGCAACCCCCAGCCCCACCTCTGTGCTCAGGAGGCAGAAGCCCAGGACTGCACCTCTGGCACTCGTGCCCACAGCATTGGGCCCGTGGCTCTGTGCGACGCGGAGTGGACACGGGGGTCCAGGGAAGACAAACCCGCCCAACCGAGGTGTGCGCCGACCTCATCCCTCCCGTCAGAAGCGCGGGATGCTAATGACCTCATTAAGATTCCGATAACGAGTGCCTCCAGCAGAAGGGAGGACTCTTTTTCTTAAAGGCCAGGCACTAAACAGGGGGAGGGGCTGCGCCCTTGTTTACACAGCGGCAAATGAGCCAATTAGAGGCGGGGGGCGGGGGCGGGCCACCAAGGCCAGAGTCTGGCCAGGTTTGTAGCCACCTGGTGAACGCTGGGCTCCTCCCAGCTGGGCAGGTGGGCGGGGCCAAAGCAGCGTGGCGAAGCACCGCCTCCAAATTATGAATAAACCCCGGGGGCGGAGGCACCGGTCACTCCATCCACCTCCTGCCTGCAGGCCAGTCTAAGGGTGATCCGCAGCTGGGGCCCGGACTTCCCGGGCACTACCCAGGCCTCCACAGGAGAGTGGGATGCCTCTCTAGCGTTTGCCAAAGTTGCAGCCCATTCCTGGGCCAGAAGCAGGTTCTTCACAAACCCTAGTCACCCCCCCCAAGCCCCCTCGGACTAACCCCGGAGAGTTCTGATGTGTCCCAGAGCGGGGGCCAGGGCCTGACTCTGAAGTTGCGTGGCATTGCAACAGCCTGCGCTTTAATTCTTCAGGGACCCATTATGTAACGTGGCATCAGCCGCTGACATGGTTACAGGGTAGTGAACTCCCAGGTTGGGGGGGGGCAGGATCCCCCTACGTGCTCTCCTGCATTTCGGGAGGGCAGCTTCCCAGCCGGGCCGGTAGCTAGCTCAGAGGGTCTGCAGTTTACAGTTTTAGCGCCAAACGCGCCACAGGAAATAATGCAAAATAAAAGGGGGAGGAGAGATGGAAGGCAGTGGGGTGGCCGAGCTCCAAGGGTTCCGGCTGCTCCTCCCCTCCTCGCCCTTCCCCCTTCTATCCCCTCCGAAACAGAGAACCACAGCCACCGGCGCCGAACCCAGCTGCAGCAGCTGCAGCGTGACAGGCAGCCGTGCGCACGAGGACGAGCTCCCCAGAAGCAGCCACCCCTCCACCACCAGGCAGCAACCATCCCAGGCCCTTCGGCCAAGCCCGCCTCTGCCTTGAGAGTGGGTGGCCCTGCCCTGCCAAGCAGCCCAGTTGGGGGGGGGGGCAACCCAGCACCCTATGGAAACTACTCCAGACCAAGCTTAAGCTCCCGGAGGGTGCGGGTGCAGCCTCGAAGGCCATGTCAACTTTCCTCCAGCCGCCAACAGGTTAAGTTCAGTTCCATGACGTCCAGGCGGTTTCACAATGCCAGCTCTCTCAGAGCTGCACCGTGAAGCGCCGGTGCCAAGGGCCAGTGGCTGCAGGACAGCAACACCTAGGCTCCAGGGCGGGGTTCCAGCTTGAAACAGGAGGGGCCCCTGGGGAACCAGGCACAGCCACAAGTTCTCCAGGCAGCTGCAGGGCCGCCCACACACACCCTTCCCAAAGTTTCCCCAAAACCCAAGGCTGGCCTTCCCTGGCCCTGCCCTCCCCCCACCCCAAACTGCAGCAACCGCCAAGGACGCTGGTTAGAGGAGCTGGGGCCCCAGCCATGCCCATGCAGGCCGGTTGCGTGGGGGCTCCCGCCAGCCTCCTCCCCGCCCATTTCCTACTACTTCGTCCCCCACTTTGCCATTCCCATATACGGTCACGGGTGGCGGGCGGTGGCTGCGTGGGGGACGCTCACCTGTTTTGGAAGGCGATCAGCAGCCTGGGGTCCAAGATGTTCTCCTCCGGTTCCCACGTGTTATATCTTGCAAGGGAAAAGGGAGGGGGACACGGTGAAAAAAAAAAAGGCCAGCTTTGAGCTTTGCCTCGGCCTCCAGGTAGGGAGTGACGTAAGGCCCTACTCCGTCTTCATGAACATTTATCTGTGGATGTGGAGGGTGGAGGGTAGATTTCTGCAGGCCTGACACAGTCCCTGACACGCTGCCCCCGCTGAAATAAACACGCAAGGGCAGGAAGAAAGGGGAGGGCTGAGGAAAATGAAACTAGCAGTTTATTTTGCAGTTGTCAAGAATTTTAAGCATGTTACTGCGACATGTTCCAAAGCCACTTTGCTCCCCAGGAACCCTGCGTGCAAAGCAGCCGAAATGCAAAGTCGCAGTCCCCCTCCTCTCCCCAGCCCCAAGTCCCTGCAAGGGCTTCAGCCGTTCTCCATTTGACCCCTAATCCGATAACCCGCAGCCGAGCGGCCCCCCCACACCCCCTCGTGGCCCAGGAGCCCGCTGTCACGGGCAAGCAAACCCCAAATACTCAGCAACACAAAAATATGCCTCCGTGTGTGTGTGTGAGTGTGCGTGTGCCTGCGCGTCTATCTCCATCCGGTGCCTTCGCATTTCAAATTAAAGAAAAAAAATTCTCCACCAAAAGCGCCGCAGTGACAGTTCCCAACATTTTCCGCCTTTCTTCTTCCCCTCCCTGCACCACTAGGAGGGAGGAGGCACACAATTGCATTTTCGTCGCTTTTTAATTTTTTTTTTTTTTGGTTTTGCAATATGGAGCCGTTCGGTGGAGGGAAAGGGGAAAGGAGCCATTTTCTGCTGCACATCAGTCAGTGCCTTCGCCCTCCCTCCCTCCGCCGGCCTCCCCGGCTCGGCCCCGCGTCTCTCCAGCTCCTCCGGCTCCTTTTAGTGCATAAATTAGTGATGGCATTTCCCGGAGAGCGGAGCACAACACAGGGCGCCGGGCTCGGGCTCGGCGGCTCGGCTTCCCAGTGCCTGCCACCGACTTCCCCACCCCCTCCTCCCTCCACCCCACCTCCACCCCGCCTCCCGTCCGCTCCCCCCACCCCCCCAGCAGCTCGGCGGGTCCGCGGCCCCGCGCCACGGCCCCCGGGCCCCCGCCCTCCGCCGCGACTTACTTGGGCGACCAGCCTCTCCATTTCACCAGATACTCCACTCTGCCCTGGGGGGAAGAGACAGCACTCCATCAGCTTCCGCGGGATCCCCGGCCCGGCCCGCAGCCTCCCCACCCCCTCCTCGCCTGCTCGCGGGCTGCTCCGGCCGCCGCTCGCCGCCCCCGAGCCGCCCTACCTTGCGGATCCGCTTCTTCTCGATGCTCTCCACCGCGAAGACGTGCTCGCCAACAGCTGGCAGCTCCATGGCCGAGCCGGAGCGCGCCGGGGCGCGGGCGGCCGGCGCGGCTGCAGACGCTGCTAGCTCCCGCCGGCGCCCCGCGGTCGCCCCGGCCGAAGCGCCCCCGCCGCCGCCGCCGCTCGCCCCGCACCGCCCGGCCGGCCCGCCGCTGCCCGCGCCTGCCCCGGCTCCCGGCTCGCGCTCGCTCAGACAACTGAGCCCGGGCCGCGGCAGCACAAGAACTCATGCAAATCCCGGACGTCAGCGGGCGGGGCCTCGCCGGGCCCAGCGCGGCGTCAGGGGGCGGGCCGCGGCGCGGATTGGCGCAGCCTGGCCTACCGGAGGCCCCGGGCCTGGGCGGCGGGGGGAGGAGGAAAGGGCGCGGGTGGGGGACGCGGAGGGGAGGGCGCCGGGGAGGTGCAGGGGAGGGATCGGCGAGCCTGGGAGAGGGAGGCTGCAGAGGGGGAGCGAGACCGGGAAGGAGAGGTGTGCCGGCCCGGGCGGAGGCGGGCGGAGAGCTTGACAGCCCGGGAGGGTCTCGGCGGCGACCCCCGCCCGCAGCCCGGTGCCCGGGCCTACCCCGCGCGGCCGGTTCTCAGTGTGCACGGCCCCGGGACCCCTGCTGGGGGCCACCAAGCGTCCGCCGTCGCTCCCAGTGGCACCGAATTGCGTCACCGGCTGCCCGGGACGCGCGGGCCCCGCCGGCAGGGGGCGGAATGGGGCAGGGGCGGCTCGCGCCCCCCTGCGGGCCCCGCCTCGCCTCTTGGCGCGGGGCGTTTAGGAGCGCGAGGAGGGAAAGGGACGGGGCGGGGAAGAGGCCGGACTGGGTGGGTGCCAAGGAGAGCTCGAAGAACGCACGAGGAAGGGGACGGACGAGCGGCCGGCCCCGGGGCCCTGGCGCCCAAGAACCTCAGTAGGAAGGGCTCCGAATCCGATCCTACCCCATCCTCCACGGCTCCGAATTTACGCTGGGCCCTCTCGTTGGCGGGGCGAGATGACCAGTTTCTAGCAGCCTCCAGAGCCAAGCTGGGCGAGAGGCGCGGGAGGCAGAGAGAGCAGGCGCGGGAGGCCCGGGTCCGCTTGGGGGCCCGAGGGGACTTCGTGGGGTCCCAGGAAGGGCCTGGAAATAAGGAGCTGGGAGGGCGGGAAGAGATTGAGGCCGAGCGGGGGAAGAACGGGCAGCGAAGGGGAGATGAACGGAATGGCCGAGGAGCCTCGCATTCGCCATGCGTCCGCGGACCCTCGTCCCCCACAGGCGGCCAAGCCAAGGCCCTCCAGAGGGACGCGGCCCGAGCAGCCGCGAGTGTGAAGTTTGGCACCTCCGGCGGCGAGACGGCGCGTTCCGGCGCGCAGCTCCTGCTGGTGGAGCTGCTGCGCCCCATGCGGCCTGCCGAGGGCGCCGCCGAGGGCCCCCGAGCTCCGTGGGGTCAGGGTGGGGGGAGCTGCCGGGGACAGGGCGGCCCGAGGGGCAGGGGCAGGAGCGCCCCCGGCCTGGGGTGTGTCTGGGCCCCGGCTCCCGGCTCTTGAAGGACCGCGAGCAGGAAGCTTGCGCAATCCCTTGGCTGAGCGTCCACGGAGAAAGAAAAAGAGTAAAAGCCGAGCGAGAGTGGAGCGAGCGATGGGGGCAGGCAAAGAGCCATCCGGGTCTCCACCACCGCCCTGACACACGACCCGACTGTCAGTTGGGGACCGCGCGGGGGCAAGCAGGGGAGGGACGAGCCTGAGCAGGGCTCGTGTTCGCCCAGGAATCCCTGGGAAGCCTTGAAGACAGTCTGGTGGTGAACGCACACGTTGACTCCATTTCATTACCACCTGGCAGCTCTTGCGCCACGGAGGCTGCTGCTGCCCGGAGGCTGCCGCCCACGGAGACCCACGTGGCCCCTCCCCGAGGGGTACTGGGGTGAGGGTTGTCTTCTGGTGGCTGCAGAGGTGTTCGGTTTGCGACTGATCTCTAACGAGCTTGAGGCGCAAACCTGGGATTCCCTGAGTGTTGGGGTGCGGGGGGGGGCAAGCCAGGTGGGACGACGCCTGCCTGTTTTCCCTGACTAGGTGCGGTGGGGGCGGGGGACGGCTCTCGGGGTTTATAGAAGCTGGGTGGGCGCACAGGAAAAGATTTTTCTACTGCCGTGTTTGGCTTTTCCCCGGCATTCTTGCCCAAGGCGAAGAACTGTCGCGCGGGGCTCCACCGCGGAAGGAGAGGGGTCGTGAGGCTGGCGCGGGAAGCGCTGTAGGCGACAGTCGCCCGTCCACGACGACCCAGCCGCACAAGCCGGTTGCGCCGTCGGTCCGTCGGGAGGTCTGCAGCAACTTTGTCCCGGCCAGTCCCCTTGTCCGGGAAGGGGCTGAGCTTCCCGACACTCCACCCTCCCCCCTCTTGAAAATCCCCTGGAAAATCTGTTTGCAGTGGGTGTTTCCGCGGCGTCCGGGTCGGGGGCGCCGGGGGAGGCCGAACGGCGGCTGCAGCCTCCCTGCCGCCAGGGGCGTCGGACTCCGCTTCGCTCCCTGCGCCCAGGGCCCTCAGGGGCCCACGCTCAGGACCTCGGGGCCACACGGCAGGACCCGGTGCCCTCACTACGGGTTTGCGCAGGAGCCGGGCTGGGCCAGGCGAGGAGCTGGGGAGGAAGTGGGGGGTCCGTACAGCGGATCCTTTCTGGAGCTGCCTGTGCCGCGGCGTGAAGCGTTTCCTGGCTCCCCAGGACTGCCGGAGGGGCCGCCCCAAGCACTTCAGAAGCCCAGCGAGCCCCCGGCCACCGCCGCTCCTGGCCTTTTTCCGACGACTTTGAAAGTGAAATTCACAAGCACCAGCAATTGACTTCCCTTCCGTGGTTATTTATTTCGTCTCCGTGGATGGTGGGCAGATGGGGAGAGAGGCCCCTACCTGACCTCTGTGGCTGGTCCCTAGAGCACCCCTGCCAGCGGGTGTGGGGAGGAGCTCGGGTCCGCGGGAGAGCGAATGGGCGCCAGGAGGTGGGACAGAATCCTGGGAAGGTACAGTGGGCTCCCCTGGAAGCTCCCCTGATGCCCCAGAGAGCCCTTCCTGGGAAACCTCCCATGGGGCTGCCCCATGCCGTCCCATCCCGCTGTCTTGGCCCCTCCAAGGGAGCGACAGGAGACAATAGCCCTAAACCCGGGATTCCCAGAGCCTTCTGCTCGGGCTCCTGTCCCCAACCTCGGATAACCAGAGCCTCACCGGCCGCCGAGAAGGGCTGCTGGCCTGCTCATTTGATACTGTCCCCTCCCAGACAGGGGCTGCTCGAGCCCCTGGTTCTGCTGCCAGACTGAAGCCTTCCAGATGCCACCTTTGTTTGGGCCCCCGGGGCCCTCCGGGGGCCCCAGGAGAGGAGAGCTGCTATCTAGCTCAGCCACAGGCTCGCTCCTGGAGGGGACAAAGCTGAAGGAGTGGACCCTGGAGAGGTCGGGAACCTTTTAACAGCCGTGGACTGAAGGGTGATTACTGAGAGTCCGGTCTGGGAAGAAGCATGACCCGCGCCATCCCAGGGAAATAAACGACTTCTCAAAGGAATCCTCTCCCTGAGCCGGTGCTCTGGGCAAGGAGATGGCCACCGCCCGCCCACGGAACCCACATTTGGGCTCTACCCTGAGGTGGCTGCCTGTGGCTTCCCGGGCGGGTCCCCAACTCAGAAAGCTCTTGAGTTGTTGTCGTTTTCGGCCCTGAGAGGTGGATTGCAGATCACACAGGGGGGATTTACCAGTAACCACTACAAAATCTACCTGGGCTTTATCAAAAGCACTCATTTCTCTCCCTTGTCCTTAGAGAAACTTGGCGCCGGTGTCGATCATATAGTCCTTGAAGCGGTGGCTCAGGGGCGGCGGAACTGGTGGGACTGTGCGTGCAGGGGGAGGTAGAGTGGAAGCCCCGCACTCCGCCCCTCCACCCTCCTGGAGGGGTAATTTGTTTCTCAGGGTGCCCCTCCACTCTCCGGATCTCCACTCCAGTATTTCTGCTCTTGGTCACACCGCCCGGGAAAGGTCGGCTTTCATTTGGGCGGCGAAGCCTCCGACGCCCCCGAGTCCCACCGCAGCGGGCAGCGCGGCGCGGCAGCCGGGGGTTCCTGGCACTGTCCCCACAGGGTGCGCGGGCGGGGAAGCGGGCCCGGAGCATCGCGACGCCAGGGCCCTTGGGCAGGGCCCTGGCACTCCTCGGGGCCACACCACCGCCCGTAGGGCCGCGCCTCCGCATTGCGGCATGATGGGGTCGCTGGCGCCGAAGCTGCACGCGCTGTTTCCTATGGCGTCCGTGCCCCCCGGCGTCAGGGCAGCCACCCCGGGCCCGCCCCGAGAAGCCCACCCGGCCCCCGCCCCGCATTCAGCCGCGAGGCCCCGCCGGCCTGGAGATCTGCGCCCCCGGGATCCATATTTCAAATATGATCTTTGGAACCGCTTCTACCGCCCGCCGCCGCCGCCGCCGCCGCGCTCACAACAGCCTCGGCGTACTGTGTGTTTTTATTTGGGTTTCGTTTGCTCAAGGTCGCCCCGCGGCTCGCCTGTGCGGCTGAGGTTCACCCCTCTGCACGCCCGCCCCTGCGTTTCCCTCTCGGGTGTCCCCGTCGCGCCCCCCGAACCCAGCGGGGCCCACACACAGGGCAGATTTCTTTCTTCCTTTTTCCAACCAAGAGCTGCTGCAGCGAGCCAGGGAATGAAGTACAAATCGCTAGGCGGACCCCGAAGTGGTCGTCAGCCGAAGCGCAACTGCCCCTCCAGCTCGCTCCCCCGCCCCTCCCCCCGGCCACCCCTCCCAGCTCCCAGCCTCGCGGCGCGCTGAGGGTTAAGCGCGCGCCCGAGGTGGGGGTATTTGGCTTGGGAGGGGGCGAGAAAAGGGGGCGCCGAGCACCGCTGGCTGGAAAGCTAGGCTCGCCCTAGTTCCCTCTCCCCAACCCCCGAGCCGAGGGGAGGCCGGATCGGAAGGGCCCGGCGCGTCTCCGCCTCCCCGGCTGGCCTGGAGCCGGGCCTGGCCGCGGCCCGGAACCGCGAGGACGCTGCTTGGAGGCCGCGTCCTGCGTAGCCCGAGCGGGGGAGGGGGCGGAGGCTCCGAAGCCGCGGTCGTGCGTCGCCCGCCAGCCGATCGATCCCCAAGGGCGGGAGCGCGGTGAACCCCGCCGACACCTGGGGGGCCCCGGTGCCTCCGCGGGACTGAGGGGCGAACGGAGAGGGGCTCAGGGATCCTGTGGCCGTGGGATGGCGGCCGGGAGGGCCCATAAACCGCGGCTTGGCCTGCACTGCAAGGAGGGTGGTAACACTTCGGGCACCCCCAAAATTCCATATTGTCTGCGTGGGGCCCAGGCTTTGGACACTTCCGGAGCCAAGTCCGGTCTCAGTGCGACTTCATCCCTACCTGTCCAGCCCCCAGCCCCACCCCCAGCCCCGATAACCAGGTCCTGGGAGGCGGTCACCCCAGTCCATCTGGTCGCCCTGCCCTCCCGAATCCTGGTAGAAACCTTCTGGTGTCCCCTCGCCCCCACCTCCGGGAAGATATCCGAGTGTGCCCTAGAAGTCCCCCTCCCCAGCTTCTTCCAGAAGGCCGTTTCCCGCAGTGATCCTTGGGGGTGGTCCCTGAGGACCTTCCCCAGCCCCCCCGCCCCCTCCCTGCCCTCCCGGGCTCTCCCTGGGCTCCCAGCCTGCCAGTCCCGGGTGCCCAGGCGGGGCCCGGGCAGGGGCGCAGAGGCGCTTGCACTGGCCACGCCCTCCCCTAGGGGGCGGGCTCCCCCCGGCCGGGCCGGCAGCCCCTCCGCGCGTCTCCCGCAGCGGGAAGGAGGTCGCGACCCGGGCGGAGCGGGGGTCTCGCTGCAGTGAGAGCTGGACGGAAAGCCCCGCACACCCCGCCTCCTGCACACCCGTCCCCTCCCCCTCCCCACGGCGGCCTGGCTGCTGCTTTCCCAGCCAGAAACAACCGGCTCCAGGGGACTTTGAACCTGGGAGCCCCTGCGCCCCGAGCGCGGAACAGGCCTCAGGGGTGCGGGCCATTGTCCCAGAAGCGGGCCCGTGCTCGCGGCCCTTCCACTCCCAGCGGGAAGTCCACACGAGCAGCACACACATATCTTTTTATTTGAGAGTTTGAAAGGAAATCTGAGGTCCCGAGGATCACAGAGCCTCTTGTTCTGCTATCAAAGGACCAGTAAGAAGCAAACTGATATTACAGGCCAACGTTCCCAGGCAGCCCAGCCTGCTTCCCTTAGGAGTCAGCGTCCTGGGAAGGGGGAGCCTGGAACCACAGCCCCGCCAGGAACTGCTTCCCCTAAACTGAGGTTCACTGAAAAAAGATGTTCGCCTGGCTGATAAACGCCGTTTCTTAACAGAGTCCAGACATTAACGGAAAGCTTTCCCCGGATTGGTCATTGAGGACACGAAAGCCCCAAGAGATACCCCAGGTCGGTGGAAGGGGCCCCAAGACCTAGACCTCTGATGGAGACCGTGGCCTTGAGAGGATGGGAGCTGGGTTGGAACACTGGAGATTATTTATAATCGCCGGGTGAAGCTCCAGCTCGACCTCAGTATTTCCTCTTTTTCTGGGCTCAGGCCGACACAGACTGGAAGAAGTCCTGTGGGTGTAGCTGTGGGAGCGTTTGGTTGATAAAGGGCATGTTTGGCACAGGGGCGGAGCCAGCCCTGTGCTCTTCTGGGCGGCGCCCCCTCTCCATGAGGCCCAGGAGGCTCTGTGCAGGGCCCATGAAAATGTTCTAATTAAAAAAAAATTGTTTATTTAAAAAATTGTGGTAAAATACATATAACACAAAACTTACCATTTTCACCATTTTTAAGCGCTCAGTTCAGTGCCATTACACACATTCATGTTGTCGTGCGGCCGTCACCGCCATCCATTGCTGCAACTTTTTCATCTTCCCAAACTGAAACGCTATCTTCATTAAACACCAACTCCCTCCCTGGCAGCCTCCATTCTACCTTCTGTCTTATGAATTTGACTCTTCTAGGGACCTCATATAAGTGGAATCACAAAGAATTTGTCCTTTCTGACTGGCTTACTTCACTTAGCACAATGTCCTCAAGGTTCATCCAGACTGTAGCAGGAGTCAGAATTTCCATCCTTTTTCCTTAAGCCAGTATCTCCAGGGAATTTTTTTTTTTTTTTTTTTGAAACAGAGTCTTGCTCTGTCGCCTAGGCTGGAGTGCAGTGGTGTAATCTCAGCTCACTGCAACCTCTGCCTACTGGATTCAAGCAATTTTCTGCCTCAGCCTCTGGAGTAGCTGAGATTACAGATGCCTGCCACCATGCCCGGCTAATTTTTGTATTTTTAGTAGAGACAGGTTTGACCATCTTGGCCAGGCTGGTCTCGAACTCCTGACCTCGTGATCCACCCGCCTCAGCCTCCCAAAGTGCTGAGATTACATGTGTGCGCCACTGTGCCTGGCCTCCAAAAGGCTGAATAATATTCCCTTGTGTATATATATAATTTATTTTAAAATCAGAAGAAGCTGGCTGGGCGAGGTAGCTCATACCTTTAATCCCAGCACTTTGGGACACCGAGGTGGATTGATTGCTTGAGCTTAGGAGTTCAAGACCAGTCTGGGCAGCATGAGGAGACACCCATCTCTAAAAAAAAATATGAAAATTAGCTGGGCATGGTGGTGCACACCTGTAGTCCCAGCTACTTGGGAGGCTGAGGTGAGAGGATCCCTTGAGCCCAAGAGGTGGAGGTTGCAGGGAGCCAAAATCATGTCACTGCACTCCAGCCTGGGCGACAGGGCATGACCCTGTCTCAAAAAACAGACTATTTTATTTAATTTAAAAAATACGTTTATTTTTTAGACAGAATCTTGCTCTGTCACCCAGGCTAGAGTGCAGTGGCTCGATCTCTGCTCTGCAACCTCTGCCTCTTGGGTTCAAGCAATTTTTCTGCCTCAGCCTCCCAGGTAGCTGGGACTACAGGCGTGTGCCACCCTGCCTGGCTAATTTTTGTATTTGTAGTGGAGACGGGATTTTGCTGTGTTGGCCAGGCTGGTCTCAAACTCCGACCTCAGGTGATCCGCCCACCTTGGCCTCCCAAAGTGCTAGGATTACAGGCGTGAGCCACTGCACCCAGCCAACATCAGAATATTTTAATATATAATATTAATGTGTTCATTCCAACAAAGCTATAAAATGTAATTCCATTTATTGTATTTTATTTTACTATTTCATTTTACTTTCTTTGGAACAAATTTTCATCTTTGTTGCCCAGGCTGGAGTGCAACGGCACAGTCTTGGTTCACTGCAACTTGGATTCAAGCAATTCTCCTGCCTCAGCCTCCCAAGTAACTGGGATTACAGGCGCCTACCACCATGCCTGGCTAATTTTTTTGTATTTTCAGTAGGGACAGGGTTTCGCCATGTGGGCCAGGCTAGTCTCCAACTCCTGACTTCAGGTGATCTACCTGCCTCTGCCTCCTAAAGTGCTGGGATTAAAGGTGTGAGCCACTGTGCCCGGCCTATAAAATGTAATTTTAAATAACCTTCTATGGAGGAAGGGGCCCATGAAAGTGAGGGTGAAGTCCTGCTTCTGCGGAAGCTTCAGGAATGGTACCACTGAGGAGATCTCATGAGTCAGGACCACCAGCTTCCCATGTGGATGCCTTCAGTGGAATCAGCTATTGGCCCTAGACTGATGGCCGTGGTGGCCCAGACTCCACCTGCCCGTGTGTCCTGGAATACAAGGACAACCTTGGGCCACTTCTTCTCACTGTTGAATGCTGGCTTCTGTTCGATTCAACTAAAACAAAAAGCATGTCAGAGTAATA